TATAGTTATGTTAGATCTATCTAATATCACAATTAATTGGGACAACACAGTCTTGAACGAAATATCAAGTTTTAATTCTTTATTATAATTTTTTATGTTAAAAAAGTGATTTACATGCATTATGGCCTGCCTGATGTAAGCGGCCACCAGATAGACGCTTGCGATTCCAAAATATCACTCGCGCCGTAACCCAATCCCCAACCCATGAAGCAGTTTGAATCTAAAGAAAATATAACTAGAAAAAAACACTTTAAATCTAGCAGTAGGTATATTGCTTAAAATAAATGATTTTTTTTTCTCACAACTGAACTGAAGATACCTTCACATATTGGGTGTATTCCGTAATATATACCAGTATACTGGCCCAGTGCTAATGACGTCATAAATCGACGCTATACTGGTGAATTGTTAAGAAATAAATTTAATGGCCAGTGCACTGACGTCATAAATTGACGAAATATTAAAAATAGTGCAAATAAAGAAGATTTTTTATTCACTTCATCAATTAAACGGAATTCTTTTTGCTGGGATGCCATTATTGTTCTTTAAAAAAAAAAGAAATAAAATTCGAATGCATCTCACGCACGCTCGGTCATACATGATATTCGTTTTCCCGGTAAAAATATGGTAGCATACCAGTAGAATATGGCGTCGGATTCGTGACGTCATTACCACTGGCCAGTATACTGATGTACATATCGGAATACACCCATTATTGAGTATCGCTCAAGTTCATCAGTAGATAACAATTAAGTACATTACATTCACATTTAAGTAATTTACTTTTGAAATTTATTAAAAAAATATTTAAGCAATTCAAAATGACTCCTTTTATGAGGTAATGTATTTTTGGTCTGTTGGTCGCAGAGTCATTTACAGCATCACCGGGTTTGGGGACGGCGAGATCCTAAGGGACCTGGAGCCGAGTATTGGCGGGTGCATCGAGAGGTATTCCAGGCGGATGGCATCTCCCCACGGGGGGAGTCTCCTCTCCGTCTGGATCTTCGAGACCACTCGAACCTGAGAGGGTCGGCTCAACTAGAGGGCGTCTCTGAGACTCGGACCTCGGCTCTAGCTAGCCGTTGTCGCGGGGGGAGTCATGTAATTAGTTTACGAGGTCCTATTTAAAGGTGCCTTCATAAACTATACACCAAATACACTTGCTATACCACCACGCGAGTCGGCAACATCGGTTCCAACAATTAATCATGTATGGATGTTTTGATGTTGTTATAATTATATAACTGTTTAAATTTAATAAATGTAACATGCATGAGTCCATGTTATACTTATAACAATTTTTATTTTGCAGTCTTGTTATTTGCTATAAGGTTATGCACTAATGATATATAATGTGGATTTTGATAATATAACTCTTATTAACAAAAAAATATAGAACATGCTTTATGATCTGGGCGCACCTTACAATCTAGAATGACCTAAGTATATATAATATATGTATTTTATTCTTTACCTTCTCTGTAAAATTTTGGCTAATTTGATATTTCGTTCTATAAGTTTTAGACATAGAACAATAAATTACAAGTTATCCCCAAAAACATTTATAACAAAATGACTAAGTATATTTCAAAAACTATCATACAACAAACACTACCTTATAAAAATAACAATTACTCAGTGTTAATATATAAGTATCTATATATCTTATATATAAAATTCTCGTGTCACAATGTTAGTTACCATGCTCCTCCGAAACGGCCTCACCGATTTTTATGAAATTTTATATGCATATTCCGTGGGTCTGAATCGGCTACTATCTATTTTTCATATCTTTAAGTGATAATGGTTATCCACCTGTAACGTAGTGTTCTGAAACCTACAATGCGCCTTCGCACCAAAATTCAAACTATTGGGTATTGTAACGTAGTGTTCTCATATGGGTTAGGAGAAATGTTATCCCAAGAAATTGATAGAACACTACGTTACACACCCCTATTAAAAAAATACAACTCTAAATTTTCTCTTCTACCACCTGCCCCTATTTTTATGACGGTGCGAAGTTCGCTGGGTCAGCTAGTTGTTATAGGTATAACTTTTCATTAAAAATAGAAATTTTAAATTTGCCGTTAAACAATTCTTTGGACCCGTTAAATAAATATTATATACATAATTGGTCATTTAAACTTATTCTATTCATAGTGTCATAGTGTCATTGGTATTTCAACTCATTTTTTTTAAATATTTATTTTTTGTCAAAAAATATGACAAGTTTCAACAATTTAGGCTTTGCGCAAACGGCGCGGTGGGGTGGCGGGAGCGATTATTTTTGACCGCGAAATATAATCGTTTTTTCTACCTGGCACCTTGCATTATAATATACATGTCTAGATACCGTATTAACTGCACGGAAGCGACACAAGAAATATTTATTACTTATGATAGACATATAGGTCTCATATACAGGTCGCGGCACGTAACTCTAGCGCTGAACAAAATGCGCCAGGTATAGCTGTGCATGGGCACCCGCGCACCTCGTTTCTCCCCAAGACTTAATTATTACTTCTGCGCAATAACGGTCAGCGTTAGAGTTTCGTAGTAGCCGCGACTTATATTCGACGCTACACACGCACACATCGGTATCGATTATGGCATGATTCTTTAAACCTAAACTCAAATTTGACAACAGTAATCACAATAAACATAATCAAAATCATTTATACAGTTTAGGCTGTTACAAGAACTCATGAATGTCTAAAAGCTACGCCATCGGTTCTGAATTAAATTACATTGACTGAGTAGAACCGGCAAGAAACTCGGCAAGGGCTGTTTTTTCACCCTGTTTTATCAGTCATTCTCTATAGAGAATAAAAGACTGAAATTAAATTTAGTTTTAAGTTTAGAGAATCATGCCAGAATCGACACCAGCGACTGCTTTAAAACAATCTGACATTACTCACGCATCGCATTTGCGCGTAACATGAGCCGTTTTCTTCGCGTGTTAATATGGATTGCTCTATTTAGGCGTGTAAATAATCAAAGGGTGGCACCGTTTTTTTGACCACCCGTGTGCTTTGGCTTGGCAGTAAGCGGTTTCCCTTTGCCTTATATTTCGCGGTGAATTGTATTTCCCCCGCCTTGCCGTTTGTGCCATGCCTTAATTCCTCTCGAGAACCTTCAAATGTTTTCATTAGATTCCACATTATTTTGTTTTGTTTTGTGTTGTGTTTTCCAAAAAGTGTTTTCTTAAATCTGTGAATGCGCCATGAAAAGTATTCTTTGCCTACAGCCATTATTATAATGGCGCGATTACACTTGGTTGTCAGCCCGAATACGAGTGCCAATGGAATTCGGGTAAACGACTTAGTGTAAATGAACGGAGTCGCCTACGCTCGTATTCAGGTAGTTTTCGTTTTGGTTATCCGACCACCCCGTATTCCAGTGTAAATATTGCTTCAGGTGCACGAATTCGAGTAATGTCTTTCGTGCATCCGAATACGGGTTAACGACCAAATGTAATTAAGTCATAAGTTCTTATGGCGCCATTCATTTATTATTTAAGCTTCTTTCGTTAGTTTTTGCCCCCCTTCCCCCTAATAAAAGAAAAATATTAATATGCTGACTCTCTCCCCTGTTTAATATTTATTAGGTAAGAATCGAAAGGAAAAACGTTTGGTTAGTTTTAATGTTTGTTATTAAAAGTAACAATTTTAAGTAATGTTTTGGGAGTAATAAACTTTAAATCATTCATTTTATCTTTTACCACTCTAGCGGGCGGCGCGGGTCCGTTGCCATGGAAATGAATATCGTTTGCTTATATGCATCCGAGCGAACCTTTTCGAAGCATTCGCGCGGTTGCTAGCGCTTTTTCAAAGTATAATTTTGACTTTGCCCATTTTTGTGATCTTACGTAAGAACTATCGAGACGCCCTTCCCTCCCCCTCCCTTGTAAGAAAAAATAAGACATGTTCAACCCCACCTAAATCTTCTAACGTAATAAATGAATGGCCCCTTATTTAATGGAGTGTGTGGTGTCATTGAGTGACGGGCGGCGTGGACGACCGTTGAGCGACCGCCACGTGAGCGTCCAGCCGTAGTGTGTGGTGTCATTGAGTGACGGGCGGCGTAGACGGCCGTTGAGCGACCGCCACGTGAGCGTCCAGCCGTAGTGTGTGGTGTCATTGAGTGACGGGCGGCGTAGACGGCCGTTGAGCGACCGCCACGTGAGCGTCCAGCCGTAGTGTGTGGTGTCATTGAGTGACGGGCGGCGTGGACGGCCGTTGAGCGACCGCCACGTGAGCGTCCAGCCGTAGTGTGTGGTGTCATTGAGTGACGGGCGGCGTGGACGGCCGTTGAGCGACCGCCACGTGAGCGTCCAGCCGTAGTGCGTGGTGTCATTGAGTGACGGGCGGCGTAGACGGCCGTTGAGCGACCGCCACGTGAGCGTCCAGCCGTAGTGTGTGGTGTCATTGAGTGACGGGCGGCGTAGACGGCCGTTGAGCGACCGCCACGTGAGCGTCCAGCCGTAGTGTGTGGTGTCATTGAGTGACGGGCGGCGTAGACGGCCGTTGAGCGACCGCCACGTGAGCGTCTAGCCGTAGTGTGTGGTGTCATTGAGTGACGGGCGGCGTAGACGGCCGTTGAGCGACCGCCACGTGAGCGTCGAGCCGTAGTGTGTGGTGTCATTGAGTGACGGGCGGCGTAGACGGCCGTTGAGCGACCGCCACGTGAGCGTCGAGCCGTAGTGTGTGGTGTCATTGAGTGACGGGCGGCGTAGACGGCCGTTGAGCGACCGCCACGTGAGCGTCCAGCCGTAGTGTGTGGTGTCATTGAGTGACGGGCGGCGTAGACGGCCGTTGAGCGACCGCCACGTGAGCGTCCAGCCGTAGTGTGTGGTGTCATTGAGTGACGGGCGGCGTAGACGGCCGTTGAGCGACCGCCACGTGAGCGTCCAGCCGTAGTGTGTGGTGTCATTGAGTGACGGGCGGCGTAGACGGCCGTTGAGCGACCGCCACGTGAGCGTCCAGCCGTAGTGTATGGTGTCATTGAGTGACGGGCGGCGTAGACGGCCGTTGAGCGACCGCCACGTGAGCGTCCAGCCCGTCCGACGCGCGGGACGCACGCCGCAGCCACCCGCCCGTGCGCTCTGCGTACGAGAGACCTAACATTAGTCCATCAATGTCCCCACTGCTGATGCACAAAGGCTAAAGGTGCTGTGCCACGACCTGTGTTGTCATGTTCAAGGCCGCGCCGCGTGGTGTTGTCAAGCCTATGAGAACTGTAACGTTCGAGATTATGCAGTCTCTATACATGATATTAAGTCAATAGAAATCTCGTACACATTGTGATGGCATAATGCAGCTGCACTAATTGAGTCGATCCTTTATGGACTGGACATTTATTTACTTTCTGATATTATTTACTTTGTGTACATGACACAAACAGTGAACATTGTTCAATTCTCATATCCAAATGTACGAGATTTCTATTTACATCTTATCATGTATAGAGACTGCTACATCGAGAAATCGTTACGATCAGACTGTACAGTTCGAACGGAACAGTTTATACGATTTCGTTTAGTATAGGAAACTGTGCAGTTTTATAACATACACGCTACGATTTATCGGTACCGTTCGGACTGTACAGTCTAATCGTAACGGTTTCTCGTAGTGTGTATGGCGGGTATTAGAGTTCTCATACGTTTAACAACCCTGCGCGGCGCGGCGCGGCCTCGCCCGCGATAACACAGATCGTGGGACAACGCCTTTAGACTGCCAAATTTTAAAGGACCTTTACCCCGACTAAGGGTGGTGTAATGAAAGTGAGTAAGGGACCCGATATAGAGCGATTGTTGTCATCTCCCTTACTTCCTAACAAGCGAGTAGGTAGTGAAATAGCTGTAAGGCAGTAAAGAAGCTCAATCGACGCCCTGAGATTGATAGCACGGACGTGTTTCTTGACGGCTGCAGATGCAGCCGTCATTCATTTTGTAATGAGGGGTAAATTTCTAAAATTTAATCCTTCCGCGAACCCTTTTATTTGACGTCTGAAAATCAGCTAATATGGCATTACACTGACATTCACTTTTACTTTTGAAAGGGACCCCGGAAATAAAATTCAAATTGAAATAAGTTTTCGATTAGACAATGTTTTTTCTTATTTGACTTTTGATAAATCGTGATCTTCTTCACACATCCTTCTCTTACTTTTAAAGCAGGGAAGGGCAATCTTTTTCCTTATCGCCAAATATTTACTATCAGAATCTATGGCAGGCCAAATTTTGCTCAGACCATTAGAATTTGTAAATGAAAAGAAATTGTAGGAAGGCCAAAGGGGAAGATCTTCCTCCGATCTGGGTGATGGTATCTCGAGGGCCGCGGCCCGACTGATGTTGGTCGGGCATCGTATATATGAAGAGTTAGCCTCCGAATTTCATTTGCGCGATGTAGGCTTCCATACTAATATTGATCGCAGTGCAGGTCACGCCATCTCTTGAGGATGGTGAGTAATGATTTCCTACATCCGTTGTATATCTGTGGGGCATATAGATGTCGCCGCCACAATCAAAATATAGCTCTGTCACGAATGCCCTCATCCTGCATCTCAGCGGCAGGGTAAATACTCCCCTAAAAGGGTAGGTACCAGTTTCTGTAGCGGGGTGGTCCTTGTCGGGAAAAAATGTACTTTGTGGTGAGAACCTTTGATTATCGTTTGATGGTCGCTCGCCGGAATTCAAGTATCCGAGGGCCAGGGAATTTCTGAGGAGCTCGATGGCGCAAGTGGTTCGCGCGTTCGGCTGCGATCGTTGAACTTAAGCAACTTTCGCAGTGGTCGGTCATTGGATGGGTGACCAAAAATTACTATCTAGAGCTCCTCCGTGCTTCGGAAGGCGCGTTAAGCCGTTGGTCCCGGCTGCATCTGCAGTCGTTAGCACCTACCAACCCGCACTGGGCCCGCGTGGTGGGTCATGGCCCAATCTCCCTATTCCATCCATAGGGAAGGCCTGTGCCCCAGCAGTGGGGACATTAATAGGCTGATGATGAGGGCCAGGGTGGTAGCTGGCGGGCCATAGTTTTCCCATCCCCGTTTAAAAGGGTAAGTACACGCTCTGATTTCATTAGAATTATTTCTTCCATAAAAATATAGACAACACACTTACCAGCGCTAGGGTCGCTCTTCTGCGTAATCAACTGCCTATACTCAGTCGAAAGTCTTCTACGCCCATGCTCATACTTGGCTTCCTTCGCTAACAGAGCCTCCCTCTGCATCTGAGTGCGTAGCTCACTGGGTACATCCGGTATGAACAGCTGCATCAGACCCGTCAGGCCGAAGACGACGTGCTGTGGAATAATTTCATTTAATCCATCATTGTTTTAATCTACATTATAAATATCCACGTTTTATGCAGTGTCTATACACTAATATATAAGTATATGGATGACTAGCGGCCCGCGCTCGCTTCGCTTCGGTGTAGAGCTGAAGTGTAGACTACAGTTTTTGTTCTCAGGCTTGTATAATACACAATGACATTCATCTATGATTCTGCTTATACCTGCATGCAAAGTCTCAGCCCGATCGGTTTATAATTGACAAAGTTTCATACAAACTTTCATTCCCTATTTTATCCCCTTGGGGGTAGAATTGATCAAAATCCTTAGCGAATGCCTACGTCATAACATCTACCTGCATTCCAAATTTCAGCCCGAACCGTCCAGTGGTTTGGGCTGTGCGTTGATAGATCACTATGTCAGTCAGTCACCTTTGAGTTTTTTTAAATATAGATAGATAGGTGGTACCATCTAGTAACAATCGGGCTAACGATCAAATTTAATCGCGCAATTACAGTACTTTTATGGAGCGATTATAATTGGTCGCTAGCCCGAATACGAGAGCCAATGGAATTCGGGTAAATAACTAAGGTTCGTATTATACGACATTTCTCACCAAGAAAACTAGTTTTAAAACGATAATTAATTCAAGAAAGTAGGGAGCGGGGTTATCGGGGGAGTTGCTGTATCTCTAATATGAACTAGTTATATGAACTCTGATTTAGAGATTGAGAGATTGAGAGATTTGCTCACACCTACACTTATGATTTTCAATTTCAAAGGCGCCACTAATATTCCATAAATTTCATTGTTCATATCTTGTTTCAAGTATGATGTGGCTATCTTCAATAGAATTTACCATTTTGTATGTATCACTACTATAATGTTTAAAAGTAAGATTTAATGCGACTTTCTCTGGTGGTCCTAATAAATGAGTGATTCCTAATGAATTACCTGATTTAAAAGACCTACCTCGAAGACTACAACGAAGGCCAGTCTCGCGGCGAACACGTGCCAGTAGTGGGGTGATAGGCCGTAAGGGTCGGCGTGGTCAGGGGGGTTGCGGTACCCCCTGTAGGCGCACGTCGGTGGGTCCACTTCGTTCTCGTCTGCTCCCCAATCTTCGCGGTAGTCTGATGTGTTGAATACTGGCGAAAAGAATTAGATATGGGGTAAAATTTACTAAGTGCATTTCGTTTTAAACTTTCATGGTCACTAAGTGTCCCCGCACACGGGCCACACGCCACAGCCACAAAGGCCGCCACGAGAAGCTAGAAGCGGTTGTTAAAGTGGCTGAAGCGCGCGACAGCGGCCGGCTAAGGTAAGGGAGAGAGGGGTGGGGAATCGCGCGAGTGACGTGTGGCGGCGTTTTGTATCGGCGCATTAAGAGCGAGCAACGACGATTTGTAGCGTGTGGCGGCCACCGGCATACCGTGTCTGGCGAGTCCATATAAAATGTATGAAAACTACAAGAAATATGCCGGTGGCGGTGTTTTGTGGTTGTGGCCGGTGGCCCGTGTGCGGCGACACTAACATGGGCACGGCGTTGTTGCAATCGCCATTATCACGGATTAACAGTCAGTTATTCCGTAATCATGGCGCTTGCAACAGTGCCGAAATAACGGAAACTTACTAAAAACAAGGTACATGGTAAAAATGTAATCCTCATCATCATCATCAGCTTATTAATGTCCCCACTGCTGGGGCGTGGGCATTTTCTGTGGATGGAATAGGGAGATCGGGCCATGATCCACCACGTGGGACCAGTGCGGATTGATGGGCGCTAACGACTGCAGATGCAGCCGGGACCAACAGCCTTTCGAAAAACGGAGGAGCTCGAGATAGTAAATTTTTGGTCACCCATCCAATGACTGACCACTGCGAAAGTTGCTTAACTACAACGATCGCAGCCGAACGCGCTAACCACATGCGCCATGGAGTTCTTCAGAAATGTCGTGAATAACATAATATGTGCATTTTATTGGATATTCTTTTTTTTTATGAAAAGGATTTCTTTCGATTTTGGGTTGTCATTGTTTCTTAAGTTCTTACTTACACGAGAGAGAGTGGTCTATATAGCCCCTGAGTGTGTTGTCCGGCGAGTAAACGTATTTGTACACCATGCGCGGGATGAAATCACTGGTGTATGCTATGACGAAGGCCTAGAACAAAGATGATATTATGTATAGAAGGCCCCATAAATCTGTACTTAGCAGGTCTTCTTCTCTTGACTGTCCCAGGTCGTTTTCTATTAATAATCTTAAATTTAATGCAAGCAAAACCAAATGAGTCAAATTCTCTTTACCGAATGTAAATCAAACCGAAATTGGGGATATAGTTTTCAATGGCGAGAAACTAAAATTAGTCGAAACAACCGTTTTTAGGCATAACCTCAGATCACAAACTTCAATGGAACCCTCACATTACAGCACTAGCGAGAAAACTTAGTTCTGCTGCTTATGCCATCTATAAAATAAGTCAGCTTACTGATATCGACACTACTAGGACAGTATACTTTAGCTATTTTCATAGCATTTTGTCGTATGGCATTCTATTGTGGGGCACGGCGACTGACATTGAGACACCTTTTATTCCTCAAAAACGAGCTTTAAGAGCTATTTATCGATTAGGATCGCGAACTTCTCTTAGGGATAAATTTAAAGAAATAGGTAAAATCTGGTACAAAGAACTCAGACTCAAAATTCGTGTTGACTTGTGTTGTCTGTTCATTTACTTATGGATTGGTCCTTACGACTTGTTTGTTGGTGCAAACCAATAATTGCATTAGGTATTCTTTAACACCTGAAATAAATATTTAACTTACGTAACATTTTGTTAGGAGTCACTAAAGTGTAGGTCGGTATAAACGGGCATAAGAAGATAATAATAGTAAGAGAATTGAAACTTACATTTGACACGACGGCTGCATAAGTAATGCCTCTTAATATTCCGTACCTGGAAGTGAATATTATGAATATTAAAACCGGCTTCGAGGACTGAGGTGCTAGACCGGGTTTCTGATTTAAACATTTTGATGTTGGTTTTGTGTTCGAACATATACTTAATAACTGAGATTACTTACTTCGTATGCTATATGCTAGCTTGAGAGATCGAAGAGAAATTTAACTGTTTGAAGAAAGATGCTATCTATTACTATTAAGAAAAGAAGAAATTTTGAGATGAGGGTTAATCGCAAAAAAGCTTTACCAACAGCAAGAAAATTTTTCAAAGAAGGTTAATGGTAAAGGTGTATTACTAATGCAACACAAAGAAAGAAATTTATAATCTACACCGAAACGTAACACAGTTGAGTCATTAGAATGTCACAATAAAAGTCTTATTTTAAATCTAAAGAAAAATTATCAAGATTTCCACGCGTCGAAGCATCAGACAGAATTAGATCCTGCACCTTTCGCCCGGAAAGCGAGAGGTGCAGGTTTGCATTTTGTCTGATGTTTACATATTCTAAATCTAGCAGTGAAATGCAATGAAAATATAATAACATCTTACTTTAACGTAATTATAATTAAGTCTCTTACCAAGCCCCTATATCCTCAACTCTCTCAGCTAGCGGTCTTCTAGCTTGGGTGACCATCTTGTAAGCGTCCAACCGTATTTCAGCGATATTATTCAGTAGAGCGAATAACGGCGCCAGTGGAAATGCCGCCACGAACAATGTGACAAAGCCGTACTGCAAGACTGAGAAGAAAGCTTACTTTAAATCTTCTTGGGGTATGCAAAAATTATTATTGCCTATTTCCCTTGATTACGCCATAACTTGAGAATGATTTTATCGATTTCATCTATCTTCTTTTCATAAGTTTCCTAATACTTTGTAGAAGGTTCTTATGGAAAAAGAAGAAATTGGCGCTAAATATTAAAAAAAATAGAAAACTCAATTTACAACTCTATGCGATGGGTAATGCTGCATTTGGGTATTAGGAATTTATTTTAATTTTATCTCTCAACAAAATACTACTTTAGGAGGGAAATGGATTCATTTAAATGAATGAAAAGCTATTCCAATTTCCAAAAGAGGGTGAGTGCTCAATTTTTATTTAACTTACTTATACAACGATAAAATGAAAGTGCGTTTAAATAATTGATCTCTGTCATTTAGTACACAAATGATTCAAATTTGTTCTGTTCTTTTTGCGTGCTTGAGTTCAATGAAACAAATATTCAACTAAACAAACTTTCACATACATAATATAAGTAGGATTTTTATATATGTATAACTCACTCATTTCTAGGTATTCGTCGAACAACGCCAGCCGTCCGGGGTCCTGCAGATGATAGTCCTGCTCCCATGCCATGTGTGGCTTGCTGCGGTCGCGCGTCACCGCGCGATGTGACCGCCGCCGCCACCAATTGTGGAACTTGCTGTACGAGGGGTCATACTTATAGAGGGGGAGTACAGTGAGGGGCCTGGGAATGATCCTTGGGGGACACCTTATGATATATAGTAAGTTGACAGACACTCGTGTTAGGGTTTATATCATTATTGGACAGTGACAGTCCTGCTCCCACGCCATATGCGGCTTGCTTTTTTTTGAGTGTGTATGCTGTTGGTCGCAGATGACCTTTACAGTCACCGGGTTTGGGGACGCACATAGGAGTATTTAACCCAAAAAGTCGATTATAAGTCGAATATTGCAAAGTACCGATATGCAGGTAGTTTCCGCTCCTTGGAAAGCGGAAAGGGTCGTCCGACAATGTACCGTTATCTCTCTTTTGTTCTCACTAACATTCGGTGCACAGTCAGTCGTCTTTGTAACGAAAGTCTGATTGTACGTATTTAATGCGCAGTGAGAGTGAGTCAACTAAGTTGTTAAAAATAAATTTTACATTTAGTTTAATTGGGATAAAGCAAGTTTTAGTTATGGACGTTGTAGAACAAGGTATGTAAAACTAAATTTATGTATTTTTTTTAAATATATATCAATAATTAATTATTTACGCTATTTTTTGTTGTATACATTAAATTATAAGTAAATTTTAGCATTACCTAATATTTCAAAGACTTTTTGGTATATTTCCGAGCTTTTCCAGGGTCAAATTCTTTTATTATCTTGTAGTTACATATCTATTATAAGAATTTAAAAAGAAATTAGCTGCCAAAATGTGCCAAAATATTACCATTTTGTAAATAGAGTGCATGTGACATTTACCAAAACAAACTTTATTTTGCGGTCACTTATGTTAATTTGAGATTTCTTTTATTGTAGGATCTTCTGGTATTAAGATCGTGACAAGAGAATATGTCTTTCGAAAAGCGAGAGAATATTGTGAACCAGATCTTGGAAAAAACTTAGAATTATTCGAGTTTGAAATAATTAATGACTCTTCATTTCCCATTGATCAAAAAGCAAAGTTTAGACATACATTTTCTTGTCTCAAGTCTGAAATGAAGTCTAAATGGCAGACAGCAAAGCGAACAGAAAGTGTGTTTTTGAAAAAATACCATGATTGGTTACAAGGTACTCTTGAAATACCGAAAAATACAATTCATAGAGAAAAATACCACGTGGGGCGGCCAAGCAAAGAGTTCAAAGAATTAACGGACTGTAGTAAGCGTCGAAAGACATCACATTTAAGAAACATAAATGAAGCAGAATCTTTAATTTATGCAGGTCAAATGGCGCTTCGTGAGAAAGGAAACGTGGATGGTGCTTATGTGATAAAAGATATTATGGCATCCCCAACACGTGGTCATAAATACCGTGAAGCGTTCAAAAAAAGCACTACACCTGAATTAAAAATTAAGCAACTATCACCAACAGAGGCTTTGTCTATGTTTGTGGAAGCTTCATTGACAAGAAAGCAGTACGAAATAATTAGAACAAATGCTAAAAAACTATACCCGTGCTACTCGATTTTACAGAAAGCAAAAAAAGATTGCTATCCAAATGCCGAGTCTTATTTAGTCACTGAAACCTGTGCAGAAATTAAATTACAAGCATTGTTAAATCACACTGTTCAGCGTTTTGTATTATACCTTGAAGAAGTGTTAAAAACTTTAACGGAAGAAGAGTTAGTGAACATAGAGCTGACATATAAATGGGGGTGTGATGGCTCGCAGCAGGCCCAATATAAACAAAAATTTGCTAATAACAGTGACTCTGACGCAAATATTTTCCAGTCATCGCTTGTGCCATTACAGTTGATAAGTAAGAGCAGTAAAAAAATAATTTGGAACAATCCATCACCTTCTCCGCGTTACTGTCGACCAATGCGGATCAGATTTATACACGAGACTAAAGACGTAACAAACGATGAGATAAATTACCACAAAGAACAAATTAAACAGTTAACGGGGACAAAGATAACTTTCGGGTCTTACGAAATAACAGTTACCCATAACTTGCTATTTACCATGGTAGATGGCAAAGTATGCAACTCGGCAACAAACACAACCTCTGCAATGAGATGCTACATTTGCAAAGCCACATCTAAGGATTTTAATAAACTTGAAAAGTTTATCGAAAGCGAAACAACAGAACTACAAAATTTGGAGTTTGGCTTATCTGTCCTACATGCTCGCATCAGATTTTTCGAGACATTACTACACATTTCTTACAAACTACCTATAAAGAAATGGCAAGTGAGAACACAGGCCGAAAAAGCTATAATTAGAGTGAGAAAGACAAACATCCAAGAAGCATTCAAAAATGAACTTGGCTTAATAGTTGACGTACCTAAAGCCAATTTCGGAAACACTAATGACGGCAACACCAGTAGAAGATTTTTTAATAATATAGAAATATCAGCCAATATCACTGGTATCGATAAAACTTTAATAGAAAGATTTGCAATCATTTTAGAAGTGATATCAAGTGGATATAAAATAAATATTGAAAAATTTGACAGCTATTGTCAAGACACTGCTAAGATGTACGTAGAATTATACTCTTGGTATCCTATGACAACAACAGTGCATAAAATATTAATTCATGGTCCTTCAGTTATAAGACATGCCATACTACCAATAGGGACCCTATCTGAAGAAGCCGCAGAGGCTCGTAATAAACATTTTAGGAAATTCAGGGAACAATATTCCAGAAAATTTAGCAGAACTGAATGCAACATGGATGTGTTAAATAGATTATTATTAACTTCGGACCCATACTTGACCAGTATTAGACCCAAAGTGTCTAAAAAATCAAAACCTTTTAAACCAGAAAGTAGAGAAATGTTAATGCCCTTTGAAGTTGATAAGGATGAAGATGATTTAGATGAAGAAGAGTAATTATTACTTTAGTAAGGGTTTTAATTAATATTTGTAAATTATTTATAAGAAATATAAATGGTGACAAAACATTGTTTACACTCATTTCAAATTCCTACTTGAAAAACTAGCTTAAATTTTTTTTTAAATGTTCTTGATTACATGATTATGACAACAAATAAATTTTAGCCAATAAATAATTTTGATCGACTTTTTTGATCAAATACTCCTATGTGGGACGGCGAGATCCTAAGGGGACCTCTAGCTGAGAATTGGCGAGTGCCTCTAGAGGTTTTCCAGGTGGATTTTCCCCACGGGGGGAGTCTCCTCCCCATCTGGAGCCTCTAGACCACTCGAACCTGAGGGGGTCGGCTCAACTAGAGGGCGTCTCTGAGACTCGGACCTCGGCTCTAGTAAGCCGTTGTCGTGGGGGGCGGGGAAAAACGCCCAGGTACGTAATTGTACCTGGTATAGCGTGTGGTGTGTAGACCGGGTCTTCACACTCTTATCCTACGGGTGCAGTGTCTACCTAATGCTAAGCTAGTGTGCACGTTTGCTAGCTGTGTAGTGTTGGTGTTTGTGGCCTGTGTGGGAGGAATCGCATTGCGGCTTGCTGCGTGTCACCGCGTGCGTACTTTTAGTGGGGGAGTAGAGTGCGAGGCCTAGCAGTGATCCTTGGGGGAATATCACCCGGGAAATATCATAAACGTAGAGAATGGACTGAGCGACATTCACATGAAAGTAACAACTTTCTAAATAGAGGGAAATAACAGCCAATACACAGAGGAACTAGAGGTCACGCTCCAAATTGATTTGCCTGTTACACACTTTTCAGTCCAAATTTATTTCACAGTTAGTTAGGAAACATTTTTTATTCCATTATCGATATCTTTGATAAATACAGAATAGAGTAGAGAGCAAAGCGGCCTAGGAATAATCCTTGTGGAACATCCAATAGAATATTATAAAATGAATTCCTACAGTTTGTTTTATAAATATCTTACAAAGATAAAGGTACCTACTACTTCTATTGCTTTCATTCTACGAACTAAAAATGGATATTGTCTTTTTCTCCTTTATTTTACATATCTTAGTCTCTTAGGCTCTATAAAGTGACATCCCTTTCTAACTGTACTCAAGTAAAGATCATCAAAACTATCTTAACTTGAGTATAGTAAGAAAGGGATGTCGCTATGTGCTATAAATAGCGACATCCCTTTCTAACTATGCTCAAATCTAGATCAATCACTGAGAATCTTTCTATAATATGGGCCTTAGTCTCCAAGATAAGACTAAAATACAAAAGTTATCAATTATCAATAAGGCATTCCATAATATAATCTTCCTAAGGAATTCCATAATATAATTTTCCTAAGGCATTCCATATTTTTATTCAAACTATGATGTACTCACGGATATCCAAGCTCTAGAAAGTTGTTGAAACACTGCTTTCCTATCATGATGATAGCGAGCTGAATGCAAAGCTCAGACAGACAGCCAGCTGGGTCACAAATATCGCCTTTCAGCTTGAAGAATTCAGATTTGCGAGCTTGGTCATCCCCAGGGTAGTCGTAGAAACGGCCCTGGGAATACAGATTAAAAAAATCTAAGTTTCCATTTCCAATGGCACACTACACTGACATGCAAAACTAAGTACCTATCACATTTATTTTTTTTTTCTAAATTATAGGAGTTACCATGTATCTTGAAGTAGAGATTTAAATTAAAGCACATTTTATATCAAGTTTTATCAGCTTTTCCTGAAACTGTAGTAGAAAATTAAACTGTATATCGAGTCCGTTTTATTTCGAAAGTTTATCTTCTGTACTTATAAAGTTATTTCAATTTTAAAAGCGTGACACTTAGTTTTGCAGGCTAGTGTACATGGGAAGAGGCTTAAAGGAAGCAGAAGTCGGATGCTTTGGTCAGATTCAGACCTAATGACTTAAAAAAAATCTAACAAATTAAAAACCAACTTCATTAAGAAAACACCAAAGATGAAGAAATAATAAATTTTCATTACATAGGCCTATAGAACATTTAAAGTCAAAAAAATAGTTGGTGTGGGTACCATGCCAACTTAAGTAGTAAATGGGAACTCAGATCTATCAGACATGCATGGCACCGACTCCAAATATTAATTTGATTTTAAATGTTCTTTGTCGGTTTTTGATTTTGTTAACAAGTTTTTATTTTCACTTTTAATAAGCCACAGTAACATCAACTTACTACGTATAGGTACCTGGCTTGCAATATCTCTCTTAACCAAAAACGATCTGTACCGTTCTAATTGAGGAAAATACTGATCAGATCTTCAGTAAATTAATATGAGACCATCTCGCTAAGAAACTCTTTCTAACAAATAAAAAACATCAAAATCGGCCAACAAACCTCGTAGATATGCGCGAATAACAAATTAAAATAGTATAATGACGAATTGAGAATCTCCTTCGTTTTGAAGTGGGTTAAGAATGGAATGAGCTTCCGTTTCCAACCAAGTAAAACTGGATAGATAGTGTGGAGAATAAACAAAGAAACAGTGTGGAAAAGAAACAGAGCAATCATGCGGCCGATAGAAAATATATAGAAATAACAGCCCTTGCTGAGTTTCTTGTCGGTTCTTCTCAGTAAAAGGTCTCCCGCCCTAGATTTACGAACCGATGTCGTAGCTTCTAGACATTCATGAGTGCTTGTAACAGCCTATACTGATTAAATTATTTTGATTATGATTATTATGAAAGTTCGTGTAGGGATTAACTGCACCAACGCTTTCTCTCTTTCTAGAGTATCGTTTACTACATTGTCCATGTCTATGGTCAGACGTAGTGCTTTCACTATGCGCTGCGACGACATCTCATCTTGTCTTGTATAGATCAGAACTAATCATCATAGCGTATGGCTAATGAAACTGAATCTCCCAACCTCGATGCTTAAGTTTAACCATTCTAAGGTTGCAGTCGTCATCCAAGCCACCAGGAAAATGCTGAAGTCAGCAGTCTTCGATGATGTGAATTATGGTCTGATGTAAGAAAAGAATTAATAACTTGATTACATCTGAAACTATAATGTTATAAAGAACTGACCTTGAAGAAAGCTATGTAGATCAAAGAAGAGTAGAAGTTCATGAACTCAAAGAAGAATATCTTGAAGGTGTACGAGTCCTCGTATTCCGTCTGCGTCCTGGGGTTCTCCAAGTTCGTGAGAATCACCGCTACTTTGGCGTATATCTGTAAACCAATAATAGGCAATATCATATCATTGAATCCATGTAGCTAATATAAAAACTAGCGACATTTAGTTTCTTTATTTAGGCCCAAGCTGAGAATGGTGTGGATTGGACCCGGGTTTCTACAGTAGCTACACTGTAAGAACCGGGGTACAGCCACCTGACAATCAAGATGTTCAAGAAGATGGTTATTGCCATGTGCTTTTAAATCGGAAAATTGTTTTTGATGAATATTTCAGTGTATTAAATTTTTGCAGAGAATATTTTTTTTAACCATCAGCATGTAACTTGCAACTAGAGCTCGTTCATGATATTTTATGCCTTATTCTTTATCTGCTTAGTAGCTTTGATCGACATTTTCGATCATGTCAGCTACACTTTGGCCAAATCTTACTAACTAAATCATCTTAATAGTAGAAATTGCAAAATTGACAATAATTTTAGCGGCCTCTGAAGAAGGCTCAGCTAAGAAACTGGTCATATTACAAACATCCTGTTCATTAATACTTAATTTAACATAAACACTGGTCTCTTTAGCTACGATTACGCTCACGTTCCACTAACAAAAGTATGTATGTCTTCTAATACTAAACACACTGCATAGTTTGGGGATTCTGTTAAATTTATTTGATATTTAAATTTATTTAATGGAATATGACATAATTATGACCAGACCTCAAACTATGAGCCATGAAGCTCGTTCATGATAATGCCACTTTCTTGCAGCACTTTAGAATTAGTACCTACACGACACGTATACCATTTAAGTCAATCCCAAAGTGTCGAAATCCCAAAGTCTCGGAATTGATTAAGTAGATAGAACACCGAGATCAATGGCAAGGGTTGGCTGATTCAAAAAATATTGAAATTAAGCGTATTCGAAAACAAACTCAACACCGTAATGCAGAACAATAATAGAAAAATATTAAATACAACAGTGACGCCATATGTCGATGACTTTGAAGACTAAATAATATTATTACAAGCTTAACACAAAGTGATTTTTGAAAAGCAAAAAGTCACTCACCCTGGTGAGAATCATGATGATGGTCAAGTTGATGAGCGCAGCTGTCATGGCGGTGAAAATCTTGGCGTGTTTCTTCAGGAAGAAGCCGCTTCCACCGTAGATGACAGACACCATGGAGATGCGGTAGATAATGGTGCCTAACACGGCTCCCATGACTATTGTGATCTAAAATGAGATGGTAAACGTGGTTTTAATTTTAATAAAGGCTTTGATGACTTTGTTGATGTTATCTTAAAGCGATGTAGGGCATAGCGGATTTCTCGCTGCAATTAGAGCACCCGTCTGGGGAAGTAACCACCTTACAGAACACCATAGTAAAATAACAACACATTTTGAAAATGAAAATTTGTTTATTTATTATTTTTTTATAGTTAGGTCCGACAAATGACTCCACCCCACCTGATATTAAGTGAAGGTGAAGTCCAGACGCGAAGATAGCTGATACAGCAGTTCTACCTGCCACACCAGCCATCCTCACCCTGCCGGCCTGCATGTTGCTTCTTCACGCCTCTTTTAAAGTATCCCAGGTTATAAGAGGGAGGGAACACGTGAGCGGGCAGAGCATTTCATTTACGGATAGTGCGACAAAGAAATGAGTCACTAAATTTCTTTTTACGCGTTGGAATTGTGGCCACAGTTAGACGGTGACAACGTAGGCCAGCGCACGCGGTCCTCTGAAGGAAAGGGGAAGGTGAAATAAGTGAGAATAACTCCTCAGAGCACTTAAATAACATAATAGTACAATCAGTCGATGAATCCTCCTAGTTAGTTTTAAATAAAACCTGTATAAGGAGAACCCGCTCTCTCATCACTGCAGGTAAGTATATAGATGATGCTATTTATACAATAATCGCAATCGCAACAATTTTGGAGGTGTTGTATATCTATTGGTTATCCAACACCTCCAAAATTGGTTGGTTAAGCAAGTGAAACTTCTTTAGCTCCATCTGCATATATATATATATATATATATATATATATATATATATATATATATATATATATGCCCCCCCCCCCCCCCCCCCCAATCAAGCGTGCGTAAAGAAGTTTCACATCAAAAAATAATAACAAATACTAAGTTAGTACGGATATAAGACAAATGTTCATTTGGCCAATATTAAAAATAGACTAAATAATAACGTATCTGTAAATAGCTGAAGAAAAATGTTTGTAAAATCTATCATCGCGCTGAAATTAATCATCGCTTAACAGCTACTCACATTTGGATTTACGCCAAACGTAATTTGTAGTTTTTTGTTTTTCAGTTATTATTACCCAATATTTTTAACGGCATTCTCAAATTCGCTACCGGATTTTACCGAATTTCCAAAACAAATAAACAACGATATTAAATTAAATACCCTAGTTACACCAACACCAACAAAATCATTGGACGATCCACGGATCTCCGTAAGATGATTGCGTAGTCAAAAACCATATAAAGCATTATTTTTACATTTAAAATCAGCTTTAATGCATTCTGTAAAAGATCTTAATTAAAACGCAAGCGTCAAAGAGTTATGACAGTTCTAAATGCAAGCTCGTAAAAATTTACGACTTATTGGTATACGCGGAAGAATATAGACCTTATTTCTTTGATTCATGCGCTGTTAGTAACATAGCAGGTACGTACCGCGAGGAAAAGAGACATCTAAATTATATTATTATTTAATATAGTTGTATAAACAATATTTTTTAACGGCATGCTCAAATTGTTACCGGATTTTACCGAATTTTCAAAACAAATAAAATTATGTAATATCCAAGGAAAGTACAAAGGAGATTGCTCAGCTTCCATGCATGTTTGGCCTAAATACCAATAATTATGAAAAATTGTTTCCTAGATTTAAAATTATATATAAATTACTGTAGAAGCGAATATTATTGACGGACACCCCTGAGAACTTCTATAAACCATATACACTGAACGATTTTGAGGTTGTGTTTGCAAATAGGTAAGGTATTAAAATAATAAAAAACAAATAAGTTATATGTATAGTAAACTAGGGAAATCAAGCCAAGTACCGAAATTATGTATTAAATTCAGATAAATAGAGCATGCAGATTAACAGATAGTGGCCTGTTTTTAAAGTTGAAGCACAAGAGTAACTTAACTTTTAAAATCAGGTATTATCTATGCATATCCGGTTATAATAAGGAAGGTACTCTGTGACAGAAACTGTGTGATGATTGTGAATGAGCCACAGATTAGAGAGATTTTTTAAACTCTCGTTAACCAAAGAAAGCTAATTATACAGCCATATCTTCAGTAGCTTCATTATTTTTGTTATGTTTTTATTATAACCATATTTTAGATTTTTAGTGTATCACACCATATAATGTGTTTATGGAGGTGTTTGGCGAAAAATGTATGACAATAGACTTTATGATGTCGCCTACCATCTATAATAATTGCCTTAGCACATTTGCATGTAATGAAAATGATAATATAGTTGTGGATATTAATACCACAGTGTAATAAAAAAAATGTTTTATCTTATCGACCTTTACAAAATAGATTTGATTTTATGTTATATAAATAACTTCGATCAGTCTTTGGCTGAATGTTACTTATTTTTCAAACCGGTTAAAAGTCCTTTTTAAAATGAATATATTATACAAAGGTGTCCGTTAAAATCTAATGACTGTAAAATAAAGTATAAATAACGCCAAGAATTACCGTATATGTCAATATTTTTTGTGCTTTCGGGCGAATTTGAGCAATCTCCTTTGTGATACGCTACATAAGCGGCCGTATATTCTTTACGTTAACTCAAAAAAGATGTTTTTTTGACAGCTTCAGAAGACCATAGATTTAAGTATGTGGTTTAAATTTCAACTTAATACCTCCATGCGTTTCGCGGCAAAGGGTCTTGACAGAAAGACGTGAGATTGAAAGCAAAGTGAATCTTACAAGGGTTCCGTTTTTTGGAGTTTACTCCTTAAGAATCGATTTGCATATTTAAGGGGGCCGGTATGAGAAAAATGTGAGGAGTAAAATCTATTGATGAATGACATTAATGACTTCGTTACGTTTTTATGCGCAACCTCATCTGCGCACCTTTCACTTTTAGCTATGGCAACGGATAAAAAACATTAAGTTGTCACAAATGTCAATAAAATAAATAAACTAAAAATAGTTATAAATTTTATTATTTTTAAAGCATGTAACTGCTTGATGTTTAAATCAAAAGAAAATATAACTTCAAGCAGTTACATGCTTTAAAAATAATAAAATTTATAACTATAATTGCTATTACTTCTTTCAAATGTTTAATACTTGTAAAAGTATTCATTTGACATTGTGGGTTACCTATAATGCGAAGAGTAATAGTAAAGAATATAATGTGAGGGCCGCGGTAGCATAATTGGTCAGTGCATTCGCCCGGATTGCGAAGGGTGCGGGTTCGAGTCCCGTCTGCTGCCTGGTCCGCGTGGAATTTTTTCTAGTTATATTTTCTTTAAACTAAAAATAGATAAAATCGGAGCAAAATTAATGAAAACAAATAAATAACAGAATATAGAGAAATGCCGGTAAGTGTCCAGCACTCTGGAATAGTGATTTTCAGTACAGATTTAATTATAATACATATTTACAAAATAATGACTAGTGTGTGATATTTTTGAAATTGTGTGTTTGAAAATGGTAACTATGATAGTCGAAACCATGGGACGATTCCTGAGGTATCTCTACTTGTAACCGACTTCTTCGGACTTGATTTTGTTTTTTTTTTTATCTTTTTTTGTTTAGGAGCTTTTGTCCGATGACATGACAGCTCCATCGAAACAAACTAACGAGTACTGAAGTAATTAATTAAGAATTGTAAAATTATTACATTAGATTTCATACTTGTGTAATTTACTGGCAGAATTCCACTAAACTACACAAGTACAATGCGGTTTCTGATTCGAATTGCTCAGAACACTTTGAACAATCCCTATATCCAACTTATTTATTTGAAATTTTGATATAAACTTGTTTCTTTGAACCTGATTCCGCTCACATTCCAAAAATGATTTTGTTATTGTGTCTGTTCAAATAAAATCGTTTTTAGAGTGTAAACTCCGGTCGTCCGTCGGAGCTGACACACACAATTTTTTTCTTTAAAGGAACGGAACCCTAGCAAGGACATCGAAGCAAATAAAAATTCCGGTTCACCTCGGTTTTAATTATTTGTGTGTGAAATGAGCAGGAACAAAAACAGATTTTGGTAGTTGTAAATGCGTGTTTCTTTATAAATTTTCTACGATTCTAGTTCGTCTGAAAATAGCACCTCTAGATATTCTAGATTTGTTTATGCCGATTGTGTGACTTGTAGCTAAATATGATGATGCGGTTCCGAATTGCGAACGTCGTAGTAAACAAACAGAGAAAAGTAGCAAACTCAGCATCCAACGTGCTACTCCGGCAGCGTCACAAAAGCGGATTTCTGACGAAGAGGGTTTCATTTAAGTGGAAAGGAAGAAGAGGAAGCTCATTCGCCGCAATCTGTGTGGTGCCGCCCCGACCGGACCGAACCATCTGCTGCCTGCAATACCGACGACGCCGCTGTACGTGTCCCGACTGCATTACTCTACGAAGGAAGAGGAGATCGTAGAGTACCTGCAGATTAAGACCAAATTCTCCCTCAGAGTCGCACGGTTGGAGTCCCTTCACAATGTGAATTTTAATTCCTTTGTGGTGCGGGTGCCAACCGAACATCTGGTGACGTTCATGAAAGAAGATTTTTGGCCGAAAGGTGTTGTGTTCCGGCGGTTCCGAAGCCGGCTACCTGACACCACTCCCCGTCACACGTCGCCGTCTATACGTGTTAATTAGGTTTCTACTAACATAGTTGTTATTATTTTTTAATTACTAACATTTATTGTGTTACCTATATCTGTATTTATGTTAGACTATAAGGTATTTATCTATGGGCCTACGGGCCTGCCTGATTATAAACAAATAAATAAATAGTAAGAAAATGCAATTCTGACTCGGTCACCTGTCTTATATACAGGCCTTACCTATGGATGGAATAGGGAGATTGGGCCATTACCAACCACGCGGACCCATGCGGATTGGCAAGTGCTAACGACTGCAAATGCAGCCGGGACCAACAGCTTAACGTGCCTTCCGAAGCACGGAGGAACTCGAGATCGAAGATTTTTGGTCACCCATCCAATCCGAGCACGGCGAAAAATGCTTAACTGCAACGATCGCAGCCGAACGCGCTAACCACCTGTACTATCGAGCTCCTCACAAATAGTAGGGGATTTTTGGATTTACTCAAGCGCGGCAGATCAAAATAAGGGAGGTAACCTTGTACATAGTTAAGTACTGCCACCATACCTAAGCCCTCTTTGTAGAGCCGAACGTCTAGAGCAGCCAAAAAAAAATTTTCATCAATCGGTCATGCCTTTTGGCTGCGTCCAAATCGTCAGTATTTTGAATAGGAGCTACTACTGAAAGGTTCACGTAACATTTCTGTTCACAGAATGAATATTGATCTGCCAATTTGCAAGGTGTGGGGTTGACCGTACAAAGGGGTAGAATATAGAGAAAAAATATTCTAGCGCAGCAGATATTGAGAAGGGATGTTACGTGAATCCACAAACAACAGTCAATAAAGTTCAGTTTTAATTTAAAAAAATAAATAAATAATCAAAATATTCAATTAAAATCGCTACTGAATATAATTTATTAGAACATATGTGATTTGCACTTGTATGAAACTCAAACACGTATTCCGAATATACAAACTAGAAACATGTGGATAAATATTATAAATATGAATACCTATAACTGTTACTTTATTACAAAAAATAAAGATGTGGTTTTTGGTTCTACTACACCAATGGTCAAGAGATGGCGCTGTAGTCTCCTGAATCGCGCTTTGGTTCCGTTGTTCCAGATTAATAAATACTTTTGATAGGCCTTCACAATGCAGTCGTTAGCACCCACAAAATAGAGATTCTATTTCTATTTTGTTGGTAGATTTTCTTAATGTGCGGTAAACACAAAAGTATTTACCGCCGTAATTTTTTTGTGTTACAGTGATGCGCGCGCATCTTAAAATTTCACTCTCATCATTTTTTCATAACGCGCCTAAAGAAGTATAACTTCAAAAATATAAATTTGAGACAGAAAAATATTTACACCTCGATTGAGACGTACGAAAATCTTTATTATTTAATTTAATAGTATAATAAATTCGCATTCGTATAAAAAGTTTAATTATTGAAGAGTTCAAGCAACCAAAAACAGCATAATATCGACTATTGCTCTTTGCCATATTAAATTATGTAGGTATCTACTTAATTCAATCTAATATTCACAATACAAACGTTTAACCACGGCTAACTGCTTAAAAAACAATTCACACCGCTCGGTCGTCGCTGTGGCGCATTCGCGACTGGATGCCAACCGGGTGCCGCGCAAACTCGATTGGGGTAGGTATGACACGCTTTCCGACCGTTTGTATGAAGATAGAATACTGTATAGATAATATTACCATGGTTAAGCAGTCCTTGCGGCTTACAAGCGCTTACGGCATACTATCCTCTGCCACATGTCTGCTATTTTTTTTAGTGTCATAGAAATTAGTCCCGTATTGCCATAGTTACCATAAACAGTACAGCTGAGCTGGTTGCCACGTATCTCATGGTCTTTTGCCAAGCCGGCAAATATGGTTCCTTCTCTCTCGTCACGGGGTTAGTTCTGAAGGTCTTCACTGAAGCCTCGAATTCAGGCCGAGGTTCTTCATCCTGAATTGATAATTAGGTTATTACCGCCGACCGATTAACCTAGCCTTATAGTAAGCACTGTAGGCTTGTGTTATGGGATACTAGGGTCAGACCCATCTTTCCCAATGGGCATTAAGGGCAAGTACCCAGGGCCCCGCGATCGATAGGGGCCTCCCTCAGATCAAATACAAAGTTCCTGTCAGATCACCAAACGATAACCAATATTTATTATCAAAAAACTTATATTGATTATTATATAAGACTTAATTCGATGAAATCGAACCTGACCACAATACCAACTTTACAAATTACTAGCTCTTACATAAGCGAAGCTATTCTACTCTCGCCCAAAAATTAGGCTTTCCGATTTTAGCATGCTTAGATAAATTTAAATATACATATAATGGTATACTATGCACATACACATTTAAAGAAAAATCATCTATCAATCAGTATGACTCGCTCTACATCAAAATCACAGGGGCCCCATTATCCTAATATGCCCAGGGCCTCCAATAGGTTAAAGACGCCCCTGACTAGGGTAACGGATGGAATACAGAAATACATATTAAACATCCATGACTGGAGTACAAATGTTCTTAATCTCAAACAACTTAACTCAAACATCTGCCCCCACCGGGATTTGAAATTTTTGGCAACCCATCCTATGCCCAGACACTAAGAAAGTAACTTAACTTTTACAATCGCATTACAATTACTTTTAACGTAGAATAAATAACTCACATAAACGACACCGCCCAAGTCCCATTCCCACCTCAATATGGACTGTTTTCTCTTCCACAGCTCCAGGAATGTAGTCGCTGAAATATCAGGAAATTATTGAGTTTCATTCATTAAAGAGAATCTAGAAGTTCATAAACTCTATGAAATGGTGCCAAGAATCATCAAAACCAACATAATTTAAAGACAAAAAATTCCGGCTCGCCGGACCAAAACGTCCAAGTTCATTTTACGTAAGTTTATGGTTTCTCATATTTATCATTACTCGCAGACCCGTCTTTCCCAGTGGGCACTTTGGGCAAGTGCCCAGAGCCTCGCGATCGATAGGGGCCCACCTCAGATCATAAAAACAAAGTCCCTAGTTCCTGTTAGATCACCAAACGGGGGTCATAGGGGCCCCATTATCCTAATATGCCCAAGGTCTCCAATAGGTTAAAGACGGTACTGATTACTCGTTTGTGCCCTTGACTTCGTCTGCAAAAACACTTTTTTTGACTGTTTAGATATTTTTAAGGTGGTAAGTACAATTTATTTTGGGAAATATTTAAGTCATCAATCATCATCAATCATCAACAGCCTATCTTAGTCCACTGCTGGACATAGGCCTCTCCAAATGCACGCCACTTAGATCGATCTTGGGCTACTCGCATCCAGCTCCTGCCAGCCACCTTGCGCAAATCGTCACTCCATCGCGCCTGAGGACGTCCTACACTACGTTTGCCTAGACGCGGTCTCCACTCCAGAACTCGTCTACCCCAACGGTTATCGGTTCTTCGACAAATATGGCCAGCCCACTGCCACTTCAACTTGCTAATCCTGTGGGCTATGTCGATAACTCTGGTTCTCTGCCGGATTACCTCATTTCTGATGCGATCCTTCAGAGAAACGCCGAGCATAGCCCTTTCCATAGCGCGTTGAGCGACTTTGAACCTGTGGACCAGCCGTACCGTCAGTGTCCACGTCTCGGCTCCGTATGTCATCACAGGTAGGACGCACTGATTGAAGACTTTCCTCTTTAGACACTGTGGGATCGACGATATCAGGACTTGACGTAACTTCCCAAACGCTGCCCAACCTAGCTGAATTCTTCTATTCACCTCGTCCTCAAAGTTGTTTCTACCTAACTGCAATGTCTGCCCGAGGTACACATATTTTTGAACAACTTCGAGAACGGCACCGTGTATTGCAATCGGTTCCGGTAGAACATGTTCATTGAACATGACCTTGGTTTTATCCAAGTTCATCCGTAGGCCGATGCGTATAGAAGAGTCAGCCAGGTCATTCAGCATCTGTTGTAGGTCCTGCAGGGTTTCTGCCATGATGACGATGTCGTCTGCAAATCGCAAGTGAGAGATGCGTTCGCCATTTATGTTGATGCCACGTCCTTTCCAGTTCAGCGTCTTGAACATATCCTCCATTGCATTAGTGAACAATTTCGGGGAAATAACGTCCCCTTGTCTCACTCCACGCTGCAATGGTATGGGACTTGTTTGCTGATTCTGTACTTGGACAGACATGGTGGCGGCTTCGTACAGACATCTAATCACTTGGATGTATCGCCAGTCGACTTGGCAACGCTGCAGGGACTCCAGAACGGACCAGATTTCAATCGAGTCAAAGGCCTTCTCATAGTCCACAAATGCTAGGCACAGGGGCTGATTGTACTCTTCAGTCTTCTGTATAATCTGCCGCACTGTGTGAATGTGGTCTATGGTGCCGTATCCGCTCCGAAACCCAGCCTGTTCCGGTGGTTGGAAGTCATCAAGTCTTCGCGCAAGACGGTTCGCGATCACTCTTGAGAACAGCTTATAGACGTGGCTTAGAAGGGATATGGGTCGATAGTTCTTAAGTTGGGTCTTGTCCCCCTTTTTAAAGAACAAGATAACCACACTCCTACTCCACGCCTCCGGAGTTCTCCCTTCGAACAGGACAGTGTTGAAAAGCTTTTGGAGCTCCCTCAGTACGGGTTTACCTCCAGCCTTTAAGAGTTCTGTTGAAACACCATCCTCTCCAGGGGCTTTTCCATTTTTAAGCTGTCCAAGAGCAATTTCGATTTCGCCAATACTGACTTCTGGCAGGTCTTCGGTGAAGTGGCGTGTTAATGTGGCTCTAGAATCCTCATTTCCGGGATCGGGTCGAGATGCATGTGATGCGTACAACTGGCTGTAGAAGTCTTCCACTTCCGAAAGGACTGCCGGCTTTGAAGCAACAACTTCCCCACTTGCTGTGGTCAACTTCGTCAGATGGCTTCTTCCAAGAGATTGTACGAACACTTTGGATCCTCGATTATGCTCGATCGCTCTCTCGATCGAGAGAGTATTGGAGCACCGGAGGTCGTGTCGTACGTGCTTACTGATCTCTTGGTTTAGAGTCCGCTTTGCCGACGAAGTGACGGGTGGATTTTCACGTCGTTCCTTCATTAGCCCTAAAGTCTCTTCCGAAAGCTTTGACTTCCTGCCCTTACGCTGCGTTGCACATAATCTCGTACCCTCTTCCCTGAGGATCCGAACCACATTTTCGAGGTTTTGGTTTACGTCTGTTGTGGTTTCCACGGCAGTAAATCGGTTCTCCAGATTTGACTGGAACGTTTCAGACCCTGTTATAGATTGGAGCAGAGTAGGTTGGAACCTGGATTTCATCAATCGGACGCGCTCGGCCTTAAAGTTGATATTCAAAGAGCCCCGGACGAGTCGGTGATCACTACCGGTATTGAACCTGTTGATCACTGAGACGTCTCTGAATATGTACCTCTTGTCCGTCATGATGAAATCGATCTCATTTTTAGTCATAGTGTCGGGGCTTTGCCACGTCCACTTCCTTTGGGGCTGTTTCTTAAAGAAAGAGTTCATCAAGAAGAGCCCCTCCCGTTCGAGGAAGTTGACGAGCATTTGCCCCCTATGATTTCTGCTTCCAAATCCATGGGATCCTACTACCGATTTGCTGCAATTCTGTACTCCCACTTTAGCGTTGAAGTCCCCCATAACAACGTTGTAGTGGGTCTTAGTAGTGGAGTGGAGGGCCCTCGATATATCATCGAACATATCCTCCACTTCGTCGTCCGAGTGTGTCGAGGTCGGTGCGTACACTTGCACCACCTTGAGGCTATACCTCTCGGTGAGCTTTATAATAAGGTACACTCCCCTGTTCGACACGCTGGACATTTCCACAACGTTATCGGCAAGGGACTTATTCACCAAAAACCCAACGCCACCTTGGGACTGTTGGTCTCCCCCGCGGAAGTACATTAGGTGGCCTGATTCGAGCGTTATGGTGTCCTCCCCCTCTCTTCGGACTTCACTTAACCCTAAAAAAAAAATATTAAGTGACCCTCAAAAAATATGTTGTCCTAACAATACAATTGGGACTTTGTTACTATTTTTTTTATGATTTAAATGCATATGTGCCATATATTTTCTTATGGACAGAACACGAATACAACACACAGAACTCACCCCAAAAAGACATGAAAATCGCGAAGAACACCGTCGCCGGATTGTCAAACAGATACGTCAGTTTGGCGAATAGACATGAATCTGACAGCGTCTGGTACTGACATGCTTTGTCGCAAAGGGGGCACAGCGTCGTGCTGCCGGGACCTCTGGTGTCGCAGATCTCAAGACTGCGAACGTTAAAAGCAAATTGGGAAAGTTAAGCAACTTACGCGATGGTTTGGCATGGGATGGTTGACCGTCTTTGCTTTGGACGGCACTTGCAACGAGGGTTACCAACTTATTTTCTATCAACTATAGTATTTTCGTAGCTGTTACCTCTAAAAATATAGTAAATGTTAAAAAAAAAGGAAAAAAATATTATATGGGGTTAAGATATTTATATTTGAAATGAATATATTTTTTCTGCTTTATACCTTAACTAGCAAACCAGTGAACCAAATGTTCACCAAAACCTGATTTAAAAAAAAATGTATTTAATTAATTGAGAACTTCGGAGATTTTGTGTGGTTTCGTTTGAAATTCGTGATTTCTCGAAAACCGGAAGTGCTACGTTACTCAAATCCGGTTTGTAGTCTTATCAGACTATTCTTAACTTATAACTTAAACATTCTCTTTATCTATCTCTTACGGTTTGGCCGCTGAAACAGCACCACAGACAGATGGACGGACGGACTTGTCTAATAGATAAGAGATACTTCAGTTTTTATTATAAGAAAGCTTTTACTGACAAAAGTCTGCTTTAAGCAGAATATAGTAGGTAGTTTCGCCTACTATATATATTTCGTAGAAATATAGTATTTGTTCCCCAAATATAGTAGGCTAATTTAGATAGTACTATATTTAACTAGTGGCCCGCCCTCGCTTCGCTTCGCTGTAGAGCTGTAATGTAGAATTCTAATTTTTCTCGCCTTTTAAACCTTCCCTAGACCTCCACGAACATTTCAAGACTAAGATATCAGATCAGTTCATCGGTTCAGCCGTTCTCGAGTTTTAATGAGACTAATGAACAGCAATTGATTTTTATATATATATATAGTAGGGTTGGTAACCCTGCCTGCAATAAACAGTGGTGGCTATACGGCTACTTACTATAAGTAATGTTAGCGTCAATGAAGGTTTAATGAGGGCTATCGCGTATGAATCCGCCGCTAGAGGCGCTTGTGTAGCGTGAGGTCTCCGAAATGTCAAATGTTATTGGTTGTGGGTTGACTACGCGGGTTTATTTCTAATTAAAATAATGTTGTGAATATTTAGTAATAACTCGGCTTAATTATAGCAAATATGAGTTACGTGGCATTGAATGTCAGTTATTTAAAAGCGGAGCTAAGAAAAATAATTATGTCCTCCTTTTTGCCGTACAAAACGGAGCTGCGCAACACTGTGGTATGGCCAATTATGTTTAGGATACGGTTATTTTGTATTAAAATATGATTTAAATGTATACTTTGATTTCACGCGCGTATTAATAAACATTAAAAGTTACAATTCAGGACCTCACTCAACAGTGGCGCCATCTGGTGAGACAAAAAACGGTAGCCCTCATTGAAACAACGATGTTGATTCGGGCATGGATTCTCTAAATAGTACAGTCAATCTGTAGGTTGAGTGGTGAAAATAAAACCTAAAGGGTAAGTCTTGTTTTTTCTGTTGCCAAATGACGTCAGTAACCCACCTTGGCGATGGGCATGTTCAACTCGTAGGCGTTTTTTGAAAAACTCATAAAAACCGTCAAAAAATTTTTGAAATGCATTTTTCTTGTTTTGTATGCATTTTATAAACTTTTTTTTCAACCATAATTGTAGAGGGCGTTGAGTACTACAATTTATGCCATTGTTGCAATCTCGTACAACAAAAAATGGCGCATTGTAGGTGGCGCTAAAGTCTCAAAAAAAGTGTTTTTTCACTTTTTCACCCTGAAAATATCATTTTAATGGAAAACTTTAAATGGAAAAGTTATTCCTTACATAATTATCAACAACTTTTGTATAAACAATTTTTTTGTATTACTTACCGTTTTCAAGTTATAAATTGCGCAGGTATGAAAAATCCAATAGAGCGGTTTTGGGCAGTTCAAGTACACATTTGCAGTGCATATTTCAATGTACGTTTTACTATTTTTTATTTTTTTTCATGATTGAAAAACAAAAAAAAATGAAAAATAATAGTTTTATTTTTATTTTTTTTCATTATTGAAAAAAAAATAGTAAAAACGTACATTGAAATGTGCACTGCAAATATGTACTTGAACTGCCCAAAAGCGCTCTATTGGATTTTTCATACCTGCGCAATTTATAACTTGAAAACGGTAAATAATACAAAAAAATTGTTTATACAAAAGTTGTTGGTAATTATGTACGAAACAACTTTGCGATTTAAAGTTTTCCATTAAAATGATATTTTCAGAGTGAAAAGTATATATTGTACACACATAGACAGGCATGAGTATATATATGTATACATACATATGGAGTTAAAGAAGTTACACTTCAGTCGTGTGGTCGTAAGCACACTCGTTTTTTTTAAATTTCGGCTAAACCTTACTTTAATACGTGATGTAGTTCTAATTTTTACTACCCGCACGTTGCGCCATTTGTTAATGCGCTCCATTTTATTATTAGAATACAGTTTGCTTCATTACATAAATGAGGTACCTATAGGTTCTGTTTTCTCGCAAGTGAGTTGAATACCGTTGTATGACATTCGTGCGTATTCAAAAAAAAAATCAAAAATACTTTATTTCTATCCTATATTATGCTAGTGATACAATATTTGAGAATCCTATAAACCTATAAACACAGTTTATTTGCCTGTGTCGGGAACTCTCGCTCTTCCATAACTTTTCCAAACTTAATACCATATTGGTTACAAATATATTATAACGATTTTTACATTTTGTATGTTTAGCCTAAAGTGTTCAATATATCTGTTATGTTTGTGTGTGGGTGCGTGTGTGTGTATGTGTGTGTGTGCGTGTGTGCGTGTATTGGTATTTACAAACTCGTGACGTGACTATGGTAAGCCCTCGACTTATAACAACCATCTTACCGCACTTATATCATAAATAAATATTATCGTATTTATATTGTAAAGGGAAACATTTATTACATTGCCAGAATTAGTTTAACCATTTACCGGCTAATGTGTCCGCCCGCATAGCGAAGATGCAGTTTTGAATCCCGTGTGACACCTGTCAGATTATTTTCATGTAAAATTTTCCACATATTCAAATGGTGTCTTTTTAAGTTTTCAATCCCGTCTGAAACCTGACAGATTGTTTACAAGTAAAATTTTCTTCAGTAAATCTGATTGATGTTTTTTTGGCCATGCTGAGTTTTATAACGATTGAATTCTCACCTGGGAATGTTATCGTTTGACTCCATACTGGCCAAGCCGTAGAGAAAGCAGAGAGTGCCAACAATAGCAGGAGCGTATAGCATCTTAGTGTAGAACCCGAGCCAGCAGAAGTATAGGCCGATCTTCTCGCCGAAATACCGGCGGACCAGCCATAGCGGCTGCTTTTTGTACCACTTGCAAGGCCTGGCCCATTCTAAATAGAGCAGCTGAAAAAAATAATTGATATTTCATCATCATCAGCCTAAATTCCCACTGCTGGGGCACAGGCCTTCCCTATGGATGAAATAGGGAGTTTGGGCCATGACCCACCACGCGGGCCCAGTGCGGATTAGTGGGTGCTAACGACAGTAGATAAAGCCGGGACCAACGGCTTAACGTGCCATCCGAAGCACGGAGGAACTCGAGATAGAAGATTATTGATAGGAGATTTTTGGTCACCCATCCAATGACCGACTACTGTGAAAGTTGCTTAACTTCAATGACCGCAGCCGAATGCGTTAACCACCCGCGCCATCGAGCTCCTTGACGTTTATCAAGGGATACTACGTTTATCAAAGGTTTATTGTTACTTAAAAGCTGGGTCTCCAGCGCGTGTTTTAGCTTAACAATCAACAAAAACATATAAACATTCAACAAAATCATCTTCACAAAACTTTGTTTCACTATAGATATTTGTTTGCATCAACAATTTTTTTCTTTCCGAGCCCAATGGAAAATACGTACACTTCTTCCTCCGCGCGGGTCGGGGAGCAGTATATTGTATCAGCGGCCAAATTTTTTTAAAACTCGCTAGCGGGGGCTCCGTTCCAAACCTAGACGTTTCTTTCAAGTTTGACATAAAATGTACGTAACTTTTGTCAAATTTGACATTGGTTGCACCTGGGCAGTAGTTTTTGAACTTAGCCTTGTGTATTTTGTGTACGACAGCCACGTGAGCAGCAGACGGCTTGTGTAACAGGTTTCCGAAACAAAGTTATAGATGGCAATGTGTTTTTGCTGAATGTTTTCTACCCTTAGGATTTCGCCGTCCCCAAACCCGGTGGCACTGTAAAGGTCATCTGCGACCGACAGCATACACACCAAATAAAACGCATTAAGTAACGAAGCGGTTTTCCCTCCCATAGGAATTATCACTTCAAAAGACTTACTCTTCTGTCAGTAACAGAGCCATCACGCATGTCCATGTCATATCGTCCTTCGTGAAGAGGAAAACAGGCCAAGTATGTTCCGTCGTTTAACAGTCGACGAATACCCATCTGAAAACGACGGTAGCATTAGGAGCGGTCGTGAGCTGCGAGAGAGAAATAGGTATTTGTAAAAACTATTGCCACGGTAATATTATCTATACAGTATTGTGACTCGGCCCTGTTTTTGAAATAATTGCCTACGGCCGAGCGGGGCGTATCCATGCGGTAGGGCTGCTCGCTTACAGTATTTTAATTTCATCTACATAATTGAGTTTCTTTCTAGTTTTGTGATTGTAAATATTTTATTTCATATTATGTAAAAAAAGTGTTCTGAATGAATTACGAAGTGTTACATAAAATACATGCTATTTTAAGTGTAATATTTAATAAAAAAAAAAAACAGATTTGAGGCAGAAAAATATTTACGCCTCGACTGAGACGTTCGAAAAGCTTTATTATTAAATTTAATAGAATAATAAATACGTATTCGTATAACAAGTTTAATTATTGAAGAGTTCAAGCAACCAAAAACAGCACAATATCGACTATTGCTCTTTGCCATATTAAATTATGTAGGTATCTACTTAATTCAATCAAATATTCACAATACAAACGTTTAAGCACGGCTAACTGCTTAAAAAACAATTCACATCGTTCGGTCGTCTGGATGTCTGGATGTTCTAGATGCCCACCGGGTGTCGCGCGAACTCGAGTGGCGTAGGTATGACACGCTTTCCGACCGTTTGTATGAATATAGAATACTGTATAGTTAATATTACCGTGCTATTGCTGTCGTGCATTGGCAAATACCGTGTGATAGGGATAACAGTAGTTACAGCTGAAAATTGCGTATAACAATTGCAAAATTCGAGGTTTGACTCTTGACGATTCCTCCTCGAAAATTAGATATATGTAAAAGAAATTTTACATAAAGAATAATAAGTAGTTAATCTATGCCTCTATGTTTAGATTTCTTTGTAAATGCTTAATAAATCTCTACACTAGATGTCTTTAGTGGTGAAAAACATTTGTTCATTTTTGGGCTTTTCGAGGGCGTCTAGTTTCTTTGAAACTTATGTTACCGACAAAACTGTTTGGAACAACTACCATCTATAGTGCAGGAAATGAAAAAAATATAAAGGAAAATACTCATAATTTCGAACTCTCAATGTCTAATATTAAAGAAAATGTGGATGGAAACTCTGTAAAACTGGTAGAGGTAATAGAAAGAATGGATACGCTAGAGAAGAAACCATCAATGCTAGAAAGCTAGCCCCAGATGAAATAAAAAGTATTTTACTTCTACATAAATACTCTTGATAACATAATGCTTAATTTCGATAAAGATTAATATTACGATACATATTTAACGTAGTTTTGTTTTCTTCAGACGATTTAATAATTATTTTGAACAAAAAATCGGTTATTATGATTAAACCATGATAGCTAGATATATGTTCTCGCGGACTTTTTTGTAGGTCTTAATGGGATCTACAAACCCGTAGTACATCATTTTGTTCTATTGTCAATAGTTTTTGCAGCGCACGCAAAAATAGGTTTTCGATTTTACATCTTGTGTTACAAAATAGCAATTTTATTACGGATCACTAATTTTGAAAAAATAGTCCTCGATAAATGAACTACCCAACACTGAAACAATCATTCAAATCGGACTAGAAGTTCCAGAGATAAGCGCGTTCAAACAAACAAACAAACTCTGCAGCTTTATATAGTCTTATTATTATAGTATAGACTATTCAAAGGTCTTTCTGGTAAGACAAAATTACTGCAAAAACATTGTGCAGAGTAAATTTAAATGAATATTGGAAATGGAAGATAAACATTACCTTCGTCTCCGTATTGTCATATTTAGCTCTTAACAATATTTGCATAACGAGCAAACTCCTTTGTGCAGGCGAGAATTGCGTGTGGCGGTCTTTGACTAAAAATCTGTCGAGAAATCAAAAACGAAGTATTACAAACTATGTTTGATGCTGAAACGAATAACGCGAACTAGGTTTTTGAATAAAACAATTGGACATTTGAACCAAGACCTATGAAATATGACAAAAATGGCAAATTTTTATCGTATACTTATTATGTGACAATGTTTCTACATTGTATTTTTTGCTCAACAATGCTCTCAGATATATATTTTAAAGAAGAAGTGGCGAAGATATGTATTTTATAATACAATACAAAACAATACAAAAACTCTTTATTGTACACCACAAAAAACCTTGAACATTAAGCACAAAACCATCTAGTACAAGTGATGCAATGGGCGGCCTTATTGCATAAAGCGATGTCTTCCAGGCAACCTTTGGATAGAGAGGATTAGAAGAAAGTGGGACAGACGGCCGTGTAAATCGCTAGTAGTATTTTATTAAATTTCAATTGTTTATATAAAAAGGGGTTGTCTGGAAGAAATCGCTGATTAGCGATAAGACCACCCTTTGTGCAATTGTAATTGTTTTGCCTTGTTTTTTGTATTTTATTCGTGTTCTTTATGTTACTGATGTGCAATAAAGTGTCATTATCTTATCTTATTTTTGCTGTAATTCAAATTGAAAATATCTTTTTATCTACTTTCTCATTTGCATGTATGGCATTAAATGCTTCTTTAATATTAAAAGCATAACCGCGTTTTTTTTTCGCCTCAATTGCTCCATTCCGTCCAATTAAACTTCGAACGAGCTGCATCCTAAGATTTTCTTGATGAAGAAAAGAACAAGGTCAATTTTAAAGTTTTTTTTATTATTAATAAAGATTATAACATCGGCTCCTTCAATCGAAGTACAATTATAAGTTTCTAAAGGTCCGGTAAAGCGCGTATCGGAGTTGTTTTAAACAACTAAAAAATATACATTAAGACAGTTCGGAACTTGTGTTTGTTTATCACTCACAACGATATTAAATACCCTATATACACCGACACGAACAAAATCGGGACCGAAACCTGTCCAAAAGGTACATTGGACGATCCACGTTGTCAAAAACAATATAAGGCATTATTTAATCATTGAAAGTCACCTTTAATAATCACTGTATTAGGTTTAAATTAAAAAGCTTGCGTCAAAGAGTTATGACAGTTCGAAATGCAAGCTCTCAAAATTTTACGACTTATTGCTATATGCGGAAGAATATACATCTTATTTCTTTGACTCTACGCGCAATTCTGAATGCGCTGTTATCAATATAGCAGCTACGGACCGCGAGGAAAAGAGATGGCTATATAACCGATCATGCCTTTGAATATCACAATTTTTTTCTATTTAAATAGTAGTAATTATAGTAAGTATTAGAACAAAATTTGCTTCAAATGTGTTAAATTAACTAACATTGATTAGATACCTGTCGAAAAAATGACACTTAATATATAGTAAAAGCATTTTTCCGCATTTTTTCAGGGAGCTCTGCGGCAACTTGACTTTTCAACGGTCCGCGCGTGACTGTGAACTAAGAAGTGCTTAAGTGGCGTTCAAGCACTTTTTTATAGGGACACATTTTGGGCGCACGTGGTGTATCTAGAATATTTAATATCGTTGATCACTCAAGCCAAACTTGAATTAGTTACTCTTATGTTTTGTCTCAGGTCATTGAGTGACAAATGGCGTTTGATTGACATGAACAAAATACGGCGTAACTAATCTGAGCTTATTCCTTGTTTATTAATAAGGGGGGTATATTATAATAAATAAACTTACTGCTCTTCTCTTCTCGCACCCTTCTGTTCTGTAGAGGTATAAAATGAGGGCTCTGGTTCTATTCTGGTGTGTTCGTATTCATACAAATGTTTCCACCGCCGACGCCATTTTGAATGCCATCTCTTATCTTTCTCTGCTTGTTTTTCATCATTCTAAGTGAAAAATGGTTTGATGATTATTCATTACTTCATCATTGATCAAGTTTTTACAAAATGTCATAAGCAAAAAATTTAAGTATTGCTGTCTTTGCCATAACAATACCATGCACCAGGAAAGGTTAGATGAATAATCAATAAAAAAATATATCCAAGAACAAGCATTTGGGATTTTACCACCCTGTTGAACACAGATCACATTTACTTAAGTTAATGTACAGAGTTACTTAAATTTCTTGAGGATATAAAACTTACCCAAGCTCTAACAGAAATAGTGATGAACCTTTTGGTTGGTAATTTCATTCCTATAACTTCGGCTAACCTCATCTCCGTCTTCCAAGGTATGTGGATCTTCAGAAACCACGTTTTCTCGTCGAACGACAAACATTTGTTTTCCAATTCTAATTCCAATCCTTCTCTTATTAAGTTTTCCTGAAATTACGAATATACTATAACTGAGGGCCTATCACCGTACCTTGTGGTATTACTCTTCGATGAACGGTTGATGACTGATTATCTAATAAGTTTCTTTCATATTCATTTTACTTCGTTTAATTTTGTCTGCTTTGGCCTTCTTAATCTAATTTAACAAAAGCTTTGATATTTTTTACCTGGAATGTTCTTCTGTGGTCCCTTTTTCTAGCCTCGGCTTCCGTCATCACGCCATAATCCTCCTCCTCGAAAGCCAAGACCATGTCTATTCTCCGTCTACCATCACGGAACATAAGTGACTCCGGATCTAAACCCTGATAAGATAGGATAGTTTCAAAATTGCGTTCGATATAGTGCCTAGTACTCTACTAAATTCACTAATATTCATCAACTACTTCAGATGATATCGGATTTCCTTTCTCTATAACTGATGTGGGTGTCAAACTTGTTGTAGTTTAGAAGTATTTGTGACGCAAGTATAAAGTTTATTGGGAAGCCAAAGATAGTATTGTTAGAAGTTTACCCAACTTGTTAAAATTCACTATAAACTTTTTTAAAGTATTGTCTTCCTAATTTTCATCTACATTTTGTAACTCCCTTACCTCTGGGTTTACCTCCCCTACATTTTCTTCTTTCTCACTAAGGTAGTTAGGCAGTGAAGGTTTCCTATCTTCTTTGGCATAATCAGAACTCTTGCTCTCCGACTTAGACTGAAATTTAAATATTAAATTAAGTCTTTTAGATACCAGTTTGGTAAGGAATAGAATAAAGTTGACAAAATGGAAGAAACAGCTAATTTTAATTTACCGACCAACATTAATAAGATTTATTTTATAGTATAAATAATAAGTATTACTCTGAGTCGAGTAAAAAATAATGTAGCTGCATTATTTTATACGCGGACTGTTTTCAGCTTTGATTTTGTATACAACCCGTTAACTAAAGAATTTTTGATCGAAGCTTGTCGCGCTATTCTCACATCATCTAAGCACCACCAAGGAAATTCTTCAAGCATCTTCATCATCTAAAACATTCTGAGTTATAAGAAGCTGGGAACACGGCAGCATTTTTGATTATCAGCACATTTCTGACTTTAAAGAGTATTGTTTTTTTTTTATTTATTGTGGAGAAAGCAAAACTGCAAAAGTCTTTGCAGTATCATTCTCAATATAACCTAAACTATAAGTGATCCGTTAATTTCAAACCGCCAAAACCATATCACCTATAAGCTTGACTACAGTATTGGAAAATGCCTACATCTGATGGTATAGTTGTGATTCTTACTTGAAAACTTGGCAATGGTGTACCGGGTAACGCCGGGGCAGTGGGCACTTCCCCGGTCTTCCCTGACAGTACTCCAGCAGCAGAAGTGACGTTCTTCACCAGCCTCCAGCCCATACGGGTCCGCCGCTCTTCAGAGCTGGCCGAGTCAGGCATCAGGTCGTCGCGGAGAGAGACCTTTGGGGAAACGAGATGCAAATGACAGATGAATGATTGGGTTACAAAAACAGCGAAGCATGCATGATTAATGGCCAGTTTCAATAATAAACCAACAGTAAAAGGCAAGGATAGTCTGGTCCCGTTTCTTAGCAATAATTGTCATAATAATCTAAAATAAATAATAAAAATATGTGTGCACGGACCACACATCTGAAGTGAAACTTCTATTCTTTAATAACCTATCACTAGGCGGTGCATAAGGCATAGGGGAATGGAGCAACACACGTCTCACTCAATATATAAATATATATATGTAACGCTCGTGACACTCGTAGCTTCTTAGTTAGTAGCTAGCACTTCGGGGGGACCCAACGGTTGTATTTGGAAATCTAGAGGAGGCCTATGTCCAGCAGTGGACGTTGTTTTTTGTTGATTAGATTATTTACAAGTCAAAATGAAAAGTTAGCCCTACAACGCCCTTTTGCTGATTTTAATAAAAACAGATCATAAAGTTAATATCTTTTGTACCTTATGGAAAGCTTATGAAACTTGTTTGCATTTTACTAATTTGTACGCCAAATTCTATACAGTTATTTTCCAATAATTTACGGCGAAGTTCGCGGAAAAATACAAAAATAATGATTATTGTTACTAAAGTCCTTTTATTTCTGTGATTGTGTAATTTTTTAGCTTTCGGAAATGTATTAATTCAATGTTTAGAGAGGAGTAGTTTATTCACAATTAATAGTTTTCGGCAGCAAGTAACGGTTGTTCAATTAGTTAGAATTGGTCCTAACTAATTGAACAACCGTCACTACTTCTTAACCATCCAGTTTTAAACCCTAGTTAACTGGACTTAATTTGTTGCTAATGACGTCTAGTATAATCCCGTTCAAGGAATTGATTTTTCCTATCACCCTGTTGTTGCATTATTTTAGAGGCCACTTCCACCAAAATGTTTAATTCAACATAATCATCTTAATCCTGTTAAACACATCTTTCCATCTTCGTCTTTTGTTTATAGTTAAGTATAGATTGCGGCTTAAACAATAGCTTTTAGATTGAAATTCAAGAACTCTAGTGCAAGTGCCCTAATATCATGACATCAAAACATTCTGATGGCTACACCTTTGATTATAAACTCGCCTAGAAAGACCAATCCAAATAAACCTGGCAAAGAAAATTGCTCATGTTACGCGCAATGTGTGCGTGACTCCAATGTCAGATTGTATTACAGCAGTCAATGTGTGCGTGTGTAGCGACGAGCGTATCTACTATATGTAGTAGATATTTTTTTCGGCGCTTCCGTGCAGTTAATACGGTATCTCGGCGTGAATATGTATAATCAGAGTAAAAGCCCTCTTGATTAATTGGTTGAATAATAGGAGGTAGTTTATGAAATTGACGTACATACGAAGACCGGAAGTGAGTGGAGTGATGACACAAGATATTACCGAAGTTCAATTACGAACTGTTGGTTGGGCAGGTATGTTATTGAACACTTTACGATTCTCATATAAGCAATTAAGGAAACGACCCTGTCTATAATCCATAGGCTTCCTCTTTTGACAAATGATTTATCCAATAGAGTACTTGACAAGTTTTAGAAAACGATCTCACGTTATTGACTATTGTTTATGGACTCCGTAAAAAGTGGATATTCATCATGCTGTTGCGTATTTCAGTAAAAATAACCAAATCAAACACTCCATTTTCAAGTTGCCGCAAAAACGTTTCTCTGGACAATATGGCGTCTTACTAGTGTGTGATGTCACACGACTGTTATTAAAACGTCAAACGATACAATGTAATGTCACTCGGAAGTTTACTTGCGTGTGACGTCATTTTAGGCTCCGCCAATCCCAAGCGTTTTGGGTCACGTGACAATAGATACGAAAACTATTATCTTTATCGTGGGTTTTTAGTAAAATTTTGAATATTTTTTTTATAAAATTGGTAAAAACCTCTGCCAATAATAATAAAATTCTAAACACAGATGCTAACAATTGGCCCTTCATTTTTAATACTCTCAAATACCCTATTGCAGGCATTGCTACATCAAGTGCCGTAACAGTTGCCTTTGTTGCTGTCCTAAACTCCATTACTCTACTTCGGCTCTGGCAACCTTATTAACTACAGAAACACAATTCTAAGGTATAATATTAATTCGGTACAAAACTTTGAAATATTGTTTTAAACTTTCATGGTCACTAACATTATAGCTATTAACGGGATTGTTACCTTAGATTAAAACAAAAAGTGTAGATACGGCACTCGCAGCTCAAAAGTCATCCGCTTAAATTGTGGTGCATCACAATTCGCTGTAGTCATAATTGGACATTCAAACTCGCTGCATGTGCGCTCAATATAACAATACTAGCAAACCAGTGAACCAAATGTTCACAAAAAAAAAATGTATTTAATTAATTGAGAACTTCGGAGATTTTGTGTGTTTCGTTTTGTTTCGTTTAAAATAGAAATCACGTGATTTCTCGAAAACCGGATGTGCTACGTTACTCACATCCGGTTTGTAGTCTTATCAGACTATTCTTAACTTATAACTTAAACATTCTCTTTATCTATCTCTTACGGTTTGGCCGCTGAAACAGCACCACGGACGGACGGACGGACTTGTCTATTAGATAAGAGATATGTGTTATAAAGATAAAACAATGCCTTCGACGCTGTTATAAAGAGCACAAATAGTTCAAAATCAAATTACAAAATGCCTCGGCAACACTTCTCATTCGTAAAAATGTAAAAAAAATGTTTCGCTCGCTCTGCTTTGAAGAGTACATACAGTTCTGTCTCGCTCGCTCCATTGAATGTTATATGTACAAATGTGTGCGTGTATGAAAGTTGCTTATGTAGTTGAATCGGACCGTATTTTATTTGATGCTAAGTACGAGCGTACCTTAACTTCCCTTTTTGTTTTAATCTAAGATTGTTACCTTGTTTTTTATGAGTCTCCGATATTTCGGCACTGTTTCAAGCGCCATGATCACGGTGTAACTGCCGAAATATCGGAGACTCATAAAAACAAGGTACATGGTAACAATCACGTTAATAGCTGTAAAACTTTTAAATACCTAGATTATACTTAAAACTCAGTTAAAATACACTTTTATGAAGAGTTCTAAACTAAAGCATTTTAGACATAGTGTACCTGCCAGAAATGTGTGAGATAGTACTGAAGTGCTTGTAGTATGTTAATAAAACTCACATACATAATTTAACACACTATAAAACATATAGTACTCCTGACTATAGAACATCAACGGGTACTTTCTGGTCCCAGGAGTTGGTACTTCACATTTATTGAAGAACTCGATGGTGCAGGTGGTTAGCGCGTTCGGCTGCGATCGTTGAAGTTAAGCAACTTTCGCAGTGGTCGGTCATTGGATGAGTGACCAAAACTTACACACGTGGGGACATTAATAGGTTGATGATGATGATGATAATTTATTTAAGTGGAAAGTATGGAAGTTATTATTTTTATACTCGCGCCTTATGGTCACAGCATTAGCCCTATTATCATCAGCCTATTAATGTCCCCACTGCTGGGGCACAGGCCTTCCCTATGGATGGAATAGGGAGAGTGGGCCTTGACCGGCCACGCGGGCCCTTTGCGGATTGGCGGGTGCTAACGACCAACCGCAGCCGGGACCAACGGCTTAACGTGCCTTCAGAAGCACGGAGGAACTCGAGATAGAAGATTTTTGTGACACTGCGAAAGTTGCTTAACTTCAACGATCGCAGCCGAATGCGCTAACCACCTGCGCCATCGAGCTCCTCACCTAGTATGAAATCTCATCACTTGGGCCCAGTGAGTACAGTTTAGCCGGAAGGTACTATCCCGAAAAACAGAAATGAAGATTTGGTGAGACAGATACAAAACACGAAAGCGTGCAAAATAATTAGATATACAATCGGTAAACATTATCATTAAAATCATAATAAGATCTTTAAATATACCTTAAAATTGGAATAACTTTTAAAGAACTGTAGGTATATATTTTGTCCTGAGGCATATTTTTCGCTTATTGTTACTAATGGCAATGAATACCCACTACAAGAATATAAAGATTTATTGGAGCGAAGTTCGTAGTTCAATTGTTTATATTTTAGACAAATTTGTTGTTAATAAAGTACAAGATCCAAAGACTGGCAGACCTTACTTATTTCGTCATGGATAATTCAGTAGTCATAGTGTATACATTGTGCGTATACATGCTTGCTTGCGTGTCCTGTGGGCCAACTTTCAGGTATGAGGTGGCACAGACACGTAAAAATTTTGCTCACTTTACATACAGTCTGAGCATTGATTCTTACGGTTGTAGAGAATATTGTCAACAATTTGAAATTAATACTGCCAGGTATAATCTGTCAGCAGTTTTTACTGGCCAGATATTTTTAATGTAGAAAGAAGAAACACAAGCTCTGCGGGAATTCACTCTAATATTTAAGTCCGTAACTTGTTTAGAAATAAATAAATGACGTCCAATTATCATTTTATTTATTTTTTAGTAAGGCTTTATTCAGATCTTTTTATTATTGGTTTAATGAAACAATTCTAGTTTCGTTTCAGAAAAAGAAATATAATTTTGATTTATTTAATTAAAATGATACTTATATCATGACACCAATAAATACGTGAATATGTGCATTTAATGTGTGTGAAACATAAAGTAACTAAAGTATTTAAGTACCTTTTTCATAGCGGTGTCAATTATTGGTTCACTCTGAAAAATCAGGGTATGATTTTGAAATAGAAATAATAGTAGTATGGTATTGGGAATTGAGGAGCTCGATGGCGCAAGTGGTTAGCGCGTTCGGCTGTGATCGTTGAATTTAAGCAACTTTCGCAGTGGTCGGTCATTGGATGGGTGACCAAAAATCTTCTATCTCGAGTTCCTCCGTGCTTCGGAAGGCACGTTAAGCCGTTGGTCCCGGCTGCATCTGCAGTCGTTAGCACCCGCCAATCCGCACTGGGCCCGCGTGGTGGGTCATGGCCCTAT